TTGATTGTGGGTGGTTCATGGTTTTAGATTGGTTCTTGGGTCCGTGTGTCACTTCGGAGCTCTCCATGCGTGACGGAATTGTGTGGAGCCTTGCCTGCCTGGTGCGAGTGTGAGAGTCGAAACCCATGAGCCTTATAACCCCATGACCCCCAAACCCTGTGCCCGAAAGCCGACACCCTATCAAACCCTCAGTCCACATGGAATCTAGTAATAGAGCACGTATATGCATAACCTACCCGTAATGAACAGTTCCCATACACTTGTAGTAGAGTCGAAATCAAAACGAAAGTTCCTAAATAAGTACCGTATAATATCCCCCCAAGAAGAGCAGGATCCCGGTCGGTCTCGGAGAAGGAGGATTTGCGCTCCGAGGCGCTGGAGACGGGTCAAAGGTCACAGGGTGTAAGCTTGAGAACGGTTTTGAGGGCATTTATACAGGCTTTTGGGGGATTGATTGTTGAAAAAACATATTCGCAATATGTTAAGGCTTGGAGTTTAGGGTTGAATTGACTTGCAGGGTATATAGTACAGTCCCTTGCTCAAGACGTATGCTCACTACCTGCCTACCTTTCGAGTTTATTTGTTGTCTATCTCCGTGTCTGTGACATAGGTGAATTTGCACAAGCCCTTCAACGAAGCATGCGGAATACACGCCCCACCCTTCACCCCAACCATGCCCTTAGCCACATTCCTTGTTAAAAGGTTCTTAACACAGGGCTCTCCAATCCGGGCATGAGTTGTCCGAGATGTGAAAGTTCAAGCGCGAACGCCAAAGCAGCCCAGGTGCTTTGGCCTGACCCCTGCATCCTACCCAGGTGTTGGGGCTGTCAGCTGGGCCTGCGCACTCAAACGCCACGCTCGGATTGTCCAAGCTGTGAGAGTCGAAAGTCCTCGACTGGAGTGTCCGATATGCGAGAGTTGAAACTCCTTAGCCTTCTAACCCTAGGCGAAAAAACGCACTAGAACAAGACCACTTGCCAAGTTTGAAAAATCTGCAGGCAGAGTCCGCTCTTTGGTGGGCTCTCGGCTCGGCGGAGAGTTCGAGCCCCCTGGGCTCGAAGGGACCAGAAGAGCTAAGGATGTAGTGTGTGATATTCACATGCATTCACTGTCAGAAGCTTTTCGAAAGAACCGCGGGGGGATTTCTGTAGTTGCAGCTTCGTGAGATTTAGCCAAGGGCTTCTCATACAAAGCACGCAGGATCTGTCAAGGCTCTTAGCGGTCCAAAGGGGTCTGCAGGTTCTGTTGTGGTACCAGGATATCTTTCAAAGTCTTGAGTTTGAAGCAACACGGAGGTCCTCCCAAGAAAATAGTCCCAAGGCCGGCATCCTTGTATCATCCTTGCAGCAGAGGCCGCGAGGGATTCAAAGGTGGGGATGAGAGATAGCTGTCGTATACAGTAGACTTCTCCTAAGGCTCTAAAGGCAAATGCAGAGTGTTGAGAGGTCATGGGTCCGCTACATCTCCCGACCAACTTAGGCGAGCACCTCATTGCCCAGGAGTGCCTTGGCAGTAGCGGGCCTGCTTTCCGTGAGCCAGCCGAACCCCATCAAACACGTCAACTCCACCGGGGCAGCAGAATTCGCATCATGCATAAACAGATATCCAGAAAACTGGAGACAACACACGTTTCCATCGTTCCACATGCCGACATCTGCTTTGCGACGATCAAGATGGTGATGCTGATTATTACTAGCATCTGTAGTGCTAGCTAGACTACTATCGCTGTTGCTAATTGTTACTGCGTTTATTCTTCTTCTTATTATTGTTTTCATTACCATAGTTAGTATTATAATGTTTCATTCATCATTATCATCCTTGTCATCGCGATCATCATGATCATCAATGTCATCGTCATCATCGTCATCACTGTCAGCGTCATCACCATCATCACCATCATCACCATCATCATCGTCATCATCGTCAGCGTCATCACCATCATCACCATCATCATCATCAGCATCGTCTTTTGTTCCCATTCCAATTTTCATTTCCACTCCTAAATTAAAATCATCATGCTATTGGTGGTGGTGGTGCTGGTGCTGCTGCTGCTGCACCATTACCCCACGGTGCAAAACCCAGTGTGAAAGTCTCCCAAAACCCTGCCCTGCATGCATAGTCGCCGTCGAGGCTTGTCGATGTTGCCTCTCAGAAGGCACGACGACCGCTGTCCAAACCGGCAAGTTTCGAGAGCATGATGCTTGGCCAATTAAGTGCAGCTTGAGACTTCGTATCCAATGCTGCTGATGTGGCCTTTTGCTGCTCATGACGGCTGTCAGCAGTCCAACAAGCAGGAGAGGTCAAAAGCCAGTGTTGGCCCTCAAAGATCCGCAACACAAGGGGTTTATCTTTAAGATCGGGGCTGCTGGGAGGCTTACCGTGACGTTGAGTTTTTTGCTGCATGTGACTTACGTTCGCGGATCGTGCACAAGCCTCCCAGGCCGTGCACGAGGTTGCAGGCTGTTGCAACTGCCTACGACCGTCGTGAGAGGATGCACGTTGGGGGTTCCAAGACTTTCGCAGCCTTGACCCAAAAGCCCTGCCATCGTCACCCTCGTTGCGGTGTCCTTCCTGCTCATTGCACAGGCTCTTGCGCACCAAGCCCCCAAAGCCGAAACCCTGTCTTCCAGCCATGATCAGGACCGGCATTGGTCTGACTTGCGTCTTGGAGGGCCTCTGTGTGGAAGTGGCAGCAGCACACCATCTACTCAAGCGATGATGCCTGGCAAATAGGGGGGGAGATGAAGAATGCGGAACGAACACCCCTCCAGATTCCGAGAAAGTTGCGGTACTAAAAGGTCTTTGCTTTGAGAGTTGCAGGCTCTGATCGTGAAGTCTGCAGTACGCAGGGAGGTTCACGTACAGTCATCACTCAGAGGCTCGCTCCAAGCCTTCAACTCAAAACAAAACCTTTCAGCTCGAGCCCCACCTGCGATTTGGGGGCCACCTGCGATTTGGGGGCCTCTGCAAGCGAGGCAAGAGACCTTCCGAGATCCTCTCTGCCTGGGTGGAGGCGGGGGGCTTGGCCAGGCTTGGGGGATCCGGCCGGGCCTTTCGGAAGCCCTGTCAGGCCCAGCTTTTGGAGGGTGCCACGGTGGTGGCCGTGGCCGTGGAGGATGTCGTCCTCGGTGCTGTGGCCCTGCGCGATGCCGTGGCTCCTGGGCACAACGGGCTCCAGGTGTTTTGTTGCTGGCGTGGCCTAAATTTTCCTAAATGGCTGGAGCTTCAGGTATGCTGTAAGCTTGTTTCTTCCAAGTTGTGACCGGGGAGCTCCTGGATCCAAACAAAGGGTGCTCTGCCTTTGTGTTCTGAGCTCAGGGTTGACTGCTTGCGCTGGCCCCGCTTTCCATGTAAAACATTAGAGCTCTTCGCGGCTCACCGACGACAAGGAGTTTTGATGGGAGGGTGTCAGGGCTTCAGCAGGTCTTCCCGCATGAAAAAAATCAACAAATCACCCAACTGCAGTTCTGAGTCGAAAAACCCAGCCCACTGACTGTTGCCACCCTGAATGAGAGCCGCGTTGCACCATAGTACAATGTGTGAAGGGGTCAGTGTCAGGGCTGAGGCTCAGGCCTTCGGCCTATTAGTAGATCTTTAACCCTAAGCTCTTCGAAATCCTTTGATGGGTTCGCCAAGCGGTGAGAGTCGAAGCTTTGTCTAGTTAGTCTAGTTGCTTTGCTGCTCCTTCATTCTTAAGTCGAGGCTCCAGGCGCGCGGATGTGTGTTGCGCACTTGGAGATGTCGGGAGTGGAGGCCCGATGCAGAAGGATTCTCTACTACGTAGTCCATGTATCCGTATAACGGCTTGATCGTATGTTGGGATGGTATCTTGGGTTTCCACACATCAGAAATGGGCAAATAAAGAAAAGCACGAAGACAAGCTACGGAATACCTGTATGAATATGCATTCTCGTGCACGCTCGATAGCTTTCATACATGCATATGCAGATAGTGTGCAGCACAAGCTTCTAAATATAGGTATAGACGTGGATATATATATATATATATATCTATCTGTGTGTATGTACACACACACACATATATATATATATATCTCTCTCTCTCTCTCTCTCTCTCTCTCTCTCTCTGTGCCTTGTGCACAGAGGCAAAAGTAACCTCACAGATTCCACTGGAGACCCCGTGGAGCTGGTTCGGCTCAGAAAGACTCCTGTAATCCATCCCCATCCCCGGAAGTAGTTGAAGGGCTGTTCCAAAGTACAGTGGCCCTGTAACAAGAGTGCTGAGCTTGAGTGAAGCCCAAGCCTCTTCACGTGTAAAGGTTGGAAGTTTTCAAGTTCCAGATGTAAGAGACTCTCGGGATCCCGGGTCGAACCAATGGTGGGGGTGGCTCGAGTGCCTGTTTTGGGGATCGTAGGGCAGGGACATGGTTCAACCAGCTCTAAAAGTGCCAATTCCGTATACTCCACGTCTAGCTTGCCCTGCAAACAAGTTCTACGACTAGAAGCCCGCAAACGCCTCTCCCTGAGGTCTGGATGTGCACTGGAGATCACCGGAAGTCCGCCGAGGTCGAACACGTATGCAAAGGACATCATAAGTGTAATCAGATGTTTGTGTACTCATATAGAAGTTCAATATCTACACACACAGTCAACTGTGTGTACACACATGCGAAATGCCGGCTTCTCGGTTTTTGGCTTAGCTTTGCTTGAACGAGGCATCTTGGAATGCAGATAATGATAGAGTAGCAGAGTCTGGACATGTGTTTAGGGAAGTCTTGTTGCGCATTCCAGTGTGTCTTGCGTTTTATTCTGGGATGGTGGTGTTGTCTTGCCAAGAGAGCACGATACCGGTTGGTGAGTCCAAGCTCCACCTCAGTGGACAGTTTTGGTGGGCTTTGGCACTTACATTCCCGAAGCTCAGTTAACGAAGGCGATGATCGAAAGCTTCCCGACCTAAACCTTCCATGTCGCCTGCCTCGTGCGAGAGTGAGAGTCGAAACCTTCCATTTCGAGTGGTCAGGGGTTAACTGGCTTTGATCAGAAACCATGTTCTGAGCTCCTCTGGGAGGTTGTGGCCCGGGAGTGCGGCATCCAGCAGTCACGGGTGGTCACTCAGAACAGCGCTAAGCACACAATTCCAGCTTGCCATTTTTTGGTGGTGTTTCCCCAACCCTTCAGTGAGGATTCCTGGACCTAGCATTGTGGGAGGTAAAGAACCTTAAATGCAACAGTTTGCACCGAGGATGAATGACTTAAGGCGTCCCGGGAATGCAATCGGCATCCCGCGAGGGCCGTCACCTTGGTAATTGCGGTATGTCCACCCATATCCTTTATTTTTTCGTATCAGTTGCAATCAAGGTGTCTAGTTACAGCATACATGTCTTTAGGAACATCAACTACCATTTCATCCCCTTCCAGATTCGCTTAATTGGCACCGTAATCAGTTCGACAAGGGATTTGTTGGCATGTAGGGGGACTCGGGCATCGTCCGGGGTATCGTGCGGGCACCGTGCGGTTATCGTTCGGGGCCAGCTTCAGGTCACCAACTCAGACCCATTGCCCATGATAGTCGAATGCTGCCCAGGCCAACTACTGGTATGTGACATCATTTGTATCTCCGTGTCTTTGTTCCAGGCGCCCAGTTGCAGAATGATAGTATTTTCCAACCGTGGTTTGCGGGTCGTCTACTTGCTGATTTCGGCCGTGTGTAACGCATTAGGCACCAAAATAGTAAACCATACCATGCCCCGCGCGACGCCCGCGCTTTTATGTTTTGGCACACTTCTCAAAATATGACGTCGCACACAAGTCTTTCGTTCGCCTGGGGTGCCTTTCGCAGATTGGCTCGTCACACGCTGCCGGGGTGGGGTGCCTTACAGCGCTCACCATGTACTCCTCCTCCTCCTCCTACTGCTGCTGCTGCTGCTGCTGCTCCGGCGGTGGCGGCGGCGGCGACGGCGGCGACGATGACGACCACTACGACGACGACCGACAACGACTATGACTACTAAAACGATTACGACGTGTACCACTACTACTTCACTACAGGCACAAGAGGCTTACACACAGGCATTGAATCGCCTTCGAACTTGCAAATGTCGGTTCGCCTGCCACCCTCTTCGAATGATGCTGAAGCTCACACATTCGAGCCGGTGCTGCAAGCATGATTTCTAAGCACACCTGCGGCAAGCCCTGGCAATGCAGGAGGCAAACAAGAATTTGTGACCCAGCCCAACCCTTGCCCGTGCAACCGAGGTTGCGCAGGCATTGCCAGCAGACAAAGTCCGGGTCGTGAAGTACTTGCAGGGCTGCGACACTGACCTTCCAGGATGCTCCGGGCTGAAGTGGGCCACCCTGAAATGAGACACCAATCCACTAATGACCTGCTGAGACAAGCCACGCACCCTTCGTTAATCCTCATGGCGCATGCGCTTTACAATGGTTGCAGAGTGTTTCTATTACTTGTCATCGTCGATAGCACCAGAACCTTGACCTCATGTACGCAATGGTGGCAGCAGGAGCAGAGTAGCACTCGAGGGGTTGAGCCGCACAGACATCGGCGTAAAGCGGGCAAGCTGTGCATTTTGGACCGTAGCAACTGTCACAGCCAATCAGAGCATTCTTCCGCGAATCCCCCGACCATGGCAAGTCCTAGAATTCCGTTTGCCCCGAATTCCAGGAATTTGTCTTTCTCATTGCTTGCAGACACCTCGATACAGTGGATTTTCGCTTTTTTGCGGAAGGCAAGCAAGCCTCGCCTCAGCGAAGTGTGGCCACGGTGGCCATGGTTGGGGATGGCGCTTGGACAACTGACTGTCGTGTGATCGTCAATGGTGGTTGTCGGGTTTTTTTGGGCCGGAAAGGATGGAATTGCGATATGCGTACCCGAATGGTGCACAGCTTAGCCAATTTGCCCAGAGTCTTCAGGATTTGGGTCAGCAGAGATCCTGCACTGTCCTAGTTGCAGCGAATGCTGCACCAGTTTTCAGATCCTCCGAAGCAGAGCCAGATCCTGTACACCGGATCTCAGGCATCAACGATGCTCCGGCCCTGGCTGCAGCTGACCTGGGTGTCGCCATCGGCGCCGGGCAGAATGCATCTTTCCTAAGATAGCAGCTGCCACCCAATGTCAATGTCCGTTTCTGTTGCCTAAACATGAGAGTGCCAAGAGATGCCGAGATGAGAGACGCGATGAATGGTCGCTGTGGCTGCGGCTCCAAAATCTCCTCGAGGTTGCGATGTTTCAAGGTAGAGGGAACGCCCACAACCCGAGCCCCAACTAGCCGTGGCCGCGGGAGCCGCAGGCGCTGGGCGCTCAAGGGACATTAAACCCGACAGCCAACACACACTTCTGTTGCCAGCCACGGCTCTTTCGGCATGAATATTCTGACGATGCTGCTGTGGTCCTGATGATGCCTGAGCACCTAGGACCACCTTAAAAGCTGAGTGCGGCAACACGTGAATGCGCGACAGCCCACGTGCCGTCTTTTGGCATGTATGACTGGCGTTACAATCCGGTCAGCGCGGGTGTTTACAAAAGCCGTGCCGACGAGCGCAAACCCAGGTGACGGTGGATGCGGCGGACATTGTGCTGGTGCGCAGCGAGCTCTCCGACCTGCTGTCTTTCCTGGCACTCTCCAAGGCGCTTCTCCGGTATGGGTTTCGAGTCTCGAGGCTCTTGAGGACTGAGGGTAGATGGGATTCTTTCAAGCACCAGTCACCGGGCCCGATGCACTCGAAACGTCTCGGATGAACACGCATACGTACCTGATGCCACTTTGACACAACGGCTAGACCGTAATGTTCAGATTTTTTTTCCGGCCGGTCTGCCCGAATGAGAGATGCGCAAGAGTTCCGGGTCGGTGGTTTCGGATCTAAGCCTCTTTCTTTCAGCCATGGCATCCAGCCAGTTTTGCAGGAGACGCTCAACACCATTTGGTTCAACTTCATGCCACTTGAATGAAATCAGTCGGGAGCCTGGGTTCTGATCGACCAAACCGGCAATGTGGAAAGGCACGAAGACTCTAGCTGTGTGGTGTGCGGTCCTTCCTTTGGTCTGCGGGGCCTTGGATCTCAAAAACCGAAAGGCTGAGGTTTGAGGGTAGCCAACTTGCCCTAGGTGGGCCTTCCTATTCAACATCTGTGCCCTTCCCGTGGCTTCCGGGATCTTCTGGCGCCAGCATGTGAGTCTTGGCTGCCCGGAGCCTTTATCAGGTGGCTTCGGACTTCAGCGTGTTGAGGTGTGCTCTCATGGAAGGCTCAAACCCCGAGTGAGAAGATGCAGCCTAAGCACCGGAATCCAAAGCTTAGACCTTCGAGCCGCCACCCAGGGGCCAAGAGGAGCCAAAACTCCAAAACCTTAAGCAGGCTGCTGTAGATACCCCTCAACCCTGAAGCAATAGACATTCGTAAACGCAGCAATGGCCCAGGGTCATGACTCCGCAGATCGCCTGCGTCCTCATGTTGGGCTCATCGCTTTTTGTCGTGTCTCGGTTCGATGCGATACAAGTTCGGGCTATGTATGCATGTGTGCATGTATGCAGGTTGGTAGGCAAGTATGTAAAAGTGTTCTCGAAATCAGCATGATTGAACACTCAGGCTCATTATTCAGGTGTTCCAACAAGTGTTTCAGACCGGCTGGACAGCCCGGGAACCTATCTCGGATACAGGAAGGTATACTGATAGCACTAGTAGAATTGGCGAGAGTCGCTGTGACGGTCATAGTAGTTGAGGAATGATGGGAATGCTGGCAGACGCGAGATCAAGATTCAGGGCTTGAGTGACGTTGTAAGTCTTTGGTCGAGCATATGGTTTTGAGAGACGAGGTTCAAGACTTGTCAAGAAGGTTAGGAGCTAGCCGTAGCTGCTTGATTTTCATCTGCTTCCATCAGAAGCACCAATCGTTACGCACGACATGCGGCAGTTAGCATTCACTCGGCCACTCCAGGTTCTGAGCTCCCTGCTTCTAAAGCGCTTCTCGCCTCCGGCGCTCTCTGACATAGCACTTCCCTAGCTGCAGCCCCAGGGAGCGGGTTTCAGCTTCGGGGTTGAGGCTTGTTGTTTGAGGAGTCTGTGTTTGCAAAGGCTGTACCACCAAAGCCGGAACCATATCCGAGATGAGAGCCTGTGGGATTTTCGGATTTGGGGCTCCGGCAGTGCCGACTCTGGGAACCGAAGAGAGCCATTTTGAGCGACTCTGGAGTGGGGTTGACACTGGCTCCCATGAGCATCATCGGCACGTGTGGGGTTTAGGGAACCTCTGACAGATTATGAGCAGAAGGTTTTGGGGATGTTGATTGACTACGACTACCTTTTTCCTGCTTCGAGCAGTGTTCTTTGCTGCTAGTGTGATGAATGCTGTGGCCTGCTACGACTACGTCCACCTCATCCTGAATCCTAAGTCCTACTATCACTGTCCTCGCAGCAGTTGCCACGACCATCACCATCAATCTTCCCAGGCTAGTACTCACCGTTTATCATTGGCGCGATGACGATGTTGATGACGAAGGTTCATTTGACGATGGAGCTGACGATAGTGACGGAGATGCTCAGTTTTGCCGTACCGGGGCCGCAGCAATCAACGCTACCACAGGGATGACGATTTGTTGAAACGTAATGACGACGACTACTGCTGATGCTTTGTTCTCCGGCAACAACTATCGAAGGCTGCAGGAGGGCCGTGTGTGGCAGGTTTGAGAGCCGGTGTCTTGGGGAATCTGCTGGGAGGCAACAGGAAAAAGCAGTGACCAGCTTATCCTTTTTGCTGCCGTGGTGTCCGTACGGGCCGTGCGGGGCTGCATCTGGCATTCGGGGACTGATGAGGCCAATTTATTCGAACTAGCCTGTAGGCTGGAGCAACGGAGCAACAGTTGACCTCCACCGACTATGGAATCTTGAAGTTGGGCAGTTGGTTGTCAGATCAATGCGAGATACGGTCGTCACTGGCAGCTACAGATCCAAGAGACGGCGACGGCCCAAAGCTACACGGTTTCCATCAGAACCCAGGATTGTTTAGATGGGTTGATGCTGCTCATGCCGATCGAGGTATCATGCGATGTAAGGCAATGAAGCAGCAGAAGAAATCACGGCAGTACACGTTTGAAGGGTGAAGCCTCGCAGGAGAGCACATGAACATTTCTTTGCTACAATGCAAGAGAGCCAGGGTACACCGGCGGTGTATCCAAACCTTTGTAGGCAAAACACAAGCTACATTGCACCAGCACGTGATGCAGTGACATAGCATGCAAGAAACTGACCCCATGCGCACACACACAGAGATGCACAGAAATGACAAACATATGTGTATAAATGAATCACGAGCTACATAAATTTGTATAAACACACTCACATATACACATATATATATATATATACATACACAAATATCTACATGTGTGCATATGAGTGTTGAATAAATACATACACAAATAAATAAATAAACATATATATATATATAGACACACACGTATCTTTTTTTACCTGTCTTTCCATCTGTCTATCTGTCTATCTATCTATCTTTCTGTCTGTCTAGCTATCTATCGCTAGATCTATCTACCTACGTATCTGTTGAGTATACACATGAGCGAAAATACATGCAAGTATGTATATATATATAGGTATATGTATATATATATATGTACATATATATATATATATTTGTGCATGTGAGCTTTGTGGCACTCAGCGCAAGTTTTCCGAAACATCCATACAAGTTCCTTTTTGAGGCCGTTGCATACATGGATACATAGTTGTATCTGCCTTTAATGTTGTTTCTGTTTCTACATATCCGCATGCATGCATGCATGGATTATAACATATGCACGTACCTGCATATACACTCGCATAATGTGCACATGTACATGCAAACACATACATGTACATATACATGCGTCAGTGTCAGTATTTGTATCTCTACGTAGATGTGCATACATACCTACATGCATACACACATACACGCATGCGCACACACACACACACGTGTATATATCAAGAATATATATATATACATATACACACATGCATGGATCTATTGTACATATGTATATATGTGTTTAAGTGTATGTGTGTATGTATGTATGTATGTATGTACGTACGCACGTAGGTAGGTAGGTAGGTAGGTAGGTATGTAGGTAGGTATGTATGTATGTATTCATGCAGGTATGTGTATGCATATATGCAGGCATATTTAACCATGGGTGGTCTCACATGCACAGCAAACTCAGATGCATATGTGCTTGTTTGCTTTCACACGTCGCCCTTACATTCTCAATAGTTCCGGGTTATGATGCCACTACACATGATTTCCCACAGCTATGGGATCCAAGCCGTCTTTGGGTATGCATGCCATGGGGTGCTGAAGTGGCCCGGGGCTGTGACAGCAAGCCTCGGAAACTTCTGGGCTTGGGCCACGTCAGGCGCCCCATGTACAGATGCATAGACAGAGCCTCGAGGTTGAGACCGTGACCTCTGAATGGCTGAGCAAATCGCAACTGAAAGCCACACGGTCTTGTGCGTTGGCACCCAAGAGGATACACAATGTAGATATGTAATTTTAATTTTTACTTACATATAGCTTATAATCATGACTCCTGTTCAAAGTGCATATATACTTGTGCAAAGACCAACAGTGTCTTCTGGCCGCAGGCAAGCTGGAATAGCCACACTGCCCCGAAGCCATGGAATGTAGCTCCAGCCAAGCTTCCGTTTTCAAGCCCGGACGGGCAGTTTCTGCAAACAAGGCACCCCCTCTCGAGACCAAGCCCGAAGAAGCATTTCTGAAAGGGACGCCGCATCTCAAGAAACTCCCATACTGGCAGAAAGGGCATTGCAGGAGGTCAGTTCACAAGATGACTGCCCCGAGTCGCAGGTATTTGCAGGGAAAAGACAGCCCAGCCACAGTTGCAGTGTGCAAGGGACGTAAGTATTTTCAGGAGCCTAAAGTGCAGCCAGAAACTGTCGCACATAGAAAATCAAGCCCTCATCAGGACTGGAACAACACTTCATCCCAGAAAGGCAGGAAAGTACAATCACCCATCAACGAGCAGCTCCAACAGGAAAGCATGTAGTAGCCTGCCAGCAAGAGTACGACTTCATGACATAGTGGAAGTATTACGCCATTACGCTCTGGTACAGGAGTTCACCTCCAAGTACTCGGTCTTCCAAGCTTCCAAGCGTCCTGACTTTTCATGCAGCGGCCTGACATGATAGAAATCGTGTTCCCATCGAGTCCCTGCGTACTTATAGCACATATGCCACGAAACCCAATGCTACTTAGGAAGGGCCCTCTATTGAAAGGTGCTTCGGCTGACTGTCAACAGTGGTGGATGTGACTCGCTTGCAGTTGGTCAGTCGTGACGAAGGTCTGGCATAGGGGTGCATTCCTTACCCATCCGTGGCATAGAAGCTTGCCTCGCGCGACCGCAAAATCTGCTTTGGCCCAGGACCTAGTACTTCATTGCTACGGGCCCAGGCCAAGTCTAAGGCCCTGAAGCTCCTTCAAAGGAGAGTTCCTCCTTCAAAACCGTCAGCCCTCGAAGCATCTTGATACCAAGAGCGTAGCAGGTCTCATTACAGAACACAGGGGGTATGGCATACACGTGCAATCGTCAGGATTGCTGGCATTCAGCAAGTCCAGTGCTTCAACAATTATGGAGTGGGTGAAGCAAGGAGTCCATGTCTCCAGATATTATAGTCTAAAGCGCTATATGGACACCTAAGGAAGAAGGGTCACGTATGCATGCAAAAACTCATGAAGCAGCGTGTATATATATATATATCCATGCATTTATATGATATATATATATATATATTATAAACACACTATCTCTATATATATATATAGATGGATAAAGAAAAATGTTTACATACAAATACAAATCGTATACATTCATTCACGGCACTGCACGCAGCCGAGACTGACGGCCGTCGGGTTCAAGGTTCCAGTTCCAGGGGTTTCGAGGGTTCGTCTCTGCTTGGGCACACGTTCTGGGCAGAGGTAGTTCCCCGGCGACGATGCCAGCTGCAAAACGGTGGACATATCTGTGCTGCGGCGAGCAACGCTTGCCGCTGACGACAGTTTCTCAGGCACATCAGCTGACAGCACCTGCCACGAACGTGGGGTCTTTCAAAAGGCCGCCTTCATGGCCATGCTTTGCACGACTTGTGCGCTGCTACACACCATCCATGGCGATGCTGAGACAGCTGGGTCAGCTCTGAAGAGCTATGGCGTGGCTCATGCAAAGACGACAGGTCAAGTCGCTTGTGCAGAGGAGTTCAAAGAGAAAGGAATGGCTGCATGGACGCGACGGAGGCAGTACTGGCTCTGTGCAGAACCGAGCAGAGCTGTTCGATGGTATCTACGACGTAAATGCCGGCTGGACAAACGCAATGCCGTTGCCACCGCACAGTGGGCAGTCATATGATCAGATGATATCAGATGTGTTCTTTGTGCCGCACTTCGTGGCCTCCTGCCTGGAGGAGGTGATTGTCAAGACATGTCCTGACTGTACAGCAAAACTCCGCGACCATAACGTGACGCACCAACGAGTTGTGGGTGACACATCTAGTCGCAGTTGGACAAAGGCCCGGGTCACAGAATCTGGCACGGAGGCCATTTGAGTGGAAACCTGTGCTTGATCTGCAAACTACTCGGCCGCGTGCTGTCTCACAGTCACGAGCCGCGGCTTCCGGCTCAAAAGGGATGTCGAGGAAGACAGCTTTATGCCGTGGTGCCGGGGGCTTCATGAGAAACCGGCTGTAAACTCTCACAAATCCTTACGGCCCTGTTCAATTTGTGCCAGACGAGCTTTAAACACTCTGAAGTTGAAACTTCATCGCTGCCACATACCCCACAAGGCAAGACATATCAATGCCTTGATGGCTACAACCTTATGAGCACTTCATGCTCGAGGCCTCGCCCCGTCAAGGCCTAATGCTTCACTCCACACAGGGCCATTTATCGCACTGTGCATCCTCCCCCTCCAGCAATTCCCCTTCTGCTGGGCCCAGGCTCGGGGTACTCCTACGACTTCCGCGCCTCGACTGATCTGTCATGTCCATCCTTGGCTGTGCTTGCAACTCCAAGTTGGGGCTTGTTTTGTTGACTTGTGGATTTTGGGCGGTTCCTGATGGCTTCCTCTAGGCAGAGAGTGACAAGCACTGACATTTTGGTTTGGCTGAACCCTAAACACTCACAACCCGCATAGAATCTTAGTTGTGAGTGTCACACGTCGACACAGGTCTCGGCCTCGCACCAAGAACCCCGCCTGGTGTGCGAGTGTGAGCACAGAAACCCTCCCTGTTCAAGCCTAAAGCCCTATCCTTAGAACGGCACCATGCGGAACAGTCCCCGACTCTCTGCGAGGCTTGGAGCCAGGCGCAGAAATGCAGGATTGCAGGAGTTTCGGGTATAGAGAACAGTCGAGTATAGTCGAGTGCAGTAGAGTACAGTAGAGTATATAGTAGAGTATAGTAGATTAGTAGATGTAGAGTGTAGGAGAGTGTATTCGAGAAAGTATAGTAGAGCGTAGTAGTGTAGCGCAGAGTTTGGTAGAACCAACAAGAGGAAAGTAGGAGAGAGAGGGGGCTTGGGATGTCAGGTTCGGATCTGAGGAAATGCTTATGCATGCATTGAGTTGGAAATGCAGAGATGTGTGTCGGCCTGTAAAGACGTATGTTTGTTTCCGCACACCCCCCCTACATACCTGCGTGCCAACATACGTTGTGAATACACAGATTCAAGCAGGCGCGTGCACAGCACTCACACGGCGAAAAAATGCCCCGGCCCATTCGTACGCTGGTCACACATGTACACAAGTATGTGCACGCCAGCAAAGAGTTTGGGTGTCGACTAAACCAACATTTTCACATGGTTATGCGTATGCAGGCAAGTGTCCATCTATGTATTCACGCAAAGACATCTACACCTGCATGCATGCGATTGTGTACAGACACGCATCCGTGCGCAGACACACGCACACCCACACAGAAAGAGTCCCAGAATTTTTTGTGCGTGTACCTTTACCCACACGCACTATGAACACATGTGTGCATGAAAACATGTATGCATGAACACATCTGGACGTGAACACATGGACTGGCAAGGGACATCTGGGTCTAAGTGGGGATATTTTATCGACATAGACAAGTGCATGTCCAGAGAATTATGCGGACATGTAGACGCCGCAGAATTTCAGTCACAGGTGGCTATTGATACGGGCATTTATGTGCCTCATATGCTTGAATGACTGAATGCATGCACGTATGTGTGTGTGTATTTATGTCTGCATGTACCTTTGCGTGTAAAACGTATGTATGTATGTATGTATGTTTGTATGTATGTATGTATGTATGTATGCATGGATGTATGGATGTATGGATGTATGTATGGATGGATGGATGGATGTATGTATGTATCTGTGTATATGTCATGCATGTACACTCACATGCGGGCGCGCCCATGTAGGGCCCCAATATGCACTTCTGTGCACCCATATACACATCCCGTAACCCCGGTAATGCATACGTAGTATTACTTTTGTACAGAGACAGACAGTCCGGCAGATACTTAGCTAGACAAGCAGATGCTTAGCAAAGTATTCCACGACAGAGGGGGACAAATGGGGCCAGGTGACATGCAGCCGGCCAGCGACGACATTGTAATCAGCCAGGCCTTGTCTGCAATGCTCAACTACGAAACGAACTCACGCCATGCCAGCCAGCACCCTAGTGCAAGGAACATGTCACGCACATTTCCTGGCGGCCGACAGCAGAAGTACATTAGTGCATACACACCTACCAAAACCATTTCACAAGCATGTCTGCCGACCAGCTAGCATACAGCCTACTGTCACAGTGCTCTATCACGGTAGAATACGGCCTGCCAGGGTCAGCTGGAGGCAGAGTTCAGGGTCACGTGAGAAGTTACGGGTGTCTTTGGATACTAGTAATTTGTGTTGGAGTTTCATTGCTGCCCTCATATTCAGTATTAGTCTTAAATTGGCGTAAAGGGTTGTGGCTTCCGTCCAGTCTTTCATGTGGATCGCCTTTGCCGTCAGAATGGGGCTCGGCTCATTGTGGATGAGCTGTCCATGACCTTCCTCGAGGAGTGCGAGATCGACTACACGGAGGCGTCTGGGGTTTAGTAAATGATTTGCACTCACACATCCTACAATAGGGGTCCTCCGTTTTAGGAGCTTTGTTGTGGGGGCTTCGTGTTGTTCACGAAACATGTCCTAGGTTTCCAGGAACCCAGCCGCAAGGAATCCCCAGCTGCCCTGTTCTCTCTGTGTAATTATCGCCCCGGCGCTCGATGTGCAATCCTGCTAGATTCGAACTTGCGGTTTCGGGTCTGGTTTCGAACGTTCTTGAATGTAGTGCAACCCCAAGTTGTCGAAAGATTTGGGTTTAGGCACCGACTTCCAGGGGAAACTACTACAACCGGAACAAAGACACACGGCCAAGTCACAAATTGTCTGCAGAACAAAGAAACGGGAGAGTTCAAGGACCTCAAACCACAAACCCATCAAAAACGGTGCAGGCACTCTGGGAACTTCCTGCCCTGCCGAAGACTTTGGGTAATGCTGCAAAAGTCTGCCGAAGCCTAAGCCACTCAGCCGATTGTGTTTGGGTACAGCCCCAAATTCCAGGCCATCTTTTGTAGAGGAATCGAAGAGCGCGATATTATGAACCGAAGAATGGGGCCAGAGTTCAGCACCGCCCACGGTTTGTTCTACTTTGCACGCATGTGTGCTAGGTCGTCCCAGCACGCGCCTCCCTCAAAGCGTTTCAAAGAGTCCTGAAAATAGAACACCCAACCCTAAAACCTGCTGAACCCACCCTCGGACAGGAGATGATCCGAGCCTCCTTCTCTGTGGTGAAAAACAAGCTTGCAGATTCGAAATGTGGCTGCGGCAGCTCGTTCAGCCACCTGCCCTTACATGGCCGTGTTATCTTTGTTATCGTCACTATTGAGCTGCTAGCATGTTTGCTGCTGTTACTGATGTTGTTTGTTGGCGTGATGGGTGCTACTGCTGTTTGCGCCATGGTCCTCAACCGTTGTTATTAGAGGGCTCCTACTCGTAGGATTCTCGGGTTTCGGCTGGGGCACTTTGGAAGTCATTGTTTGGAAGGTTTCAATGCAGAATGCTCCGCGGGATTCACCGTGGGTTTGTTTGTTACAAAGCGCTGCAGAGCCCAGCAACCCTGGCCCTCCGTATCGTCCCTTTCTCATGTGATTCTACTTCGTGCTTAGGGTGGGGGGCAAAAACTTTGTGCTCAGGGCATCTCTGAACCCGAATATTCTGCTGACTTGAAAAATCCGGATGGATAAGGGGAGTGTTCTCCAGCATCCTTCGTAGGTCCCAAGAACACTGGCTAAACAAGGGTTGCAGAGGATGTCGGGGAGGTGGAAGCAGGCGCCAGGCTGCTATCCGGCAAGAACTTAACCGCAACCGCAGGCGTTGCTTCCTTCTGAGCGAACCTCGCTACCGACGCCGAGTTCTTTAAATCACGGCCTGTTGGTCTGGAGTCCTGGTGCCTTCCATCCGCCTGTATCCTTGCATTTAGGGCAGCTTAGGTTTGATGTGATGCTCTTGTGCAAGTATGCACACATGCGTACGTGTGTGGGTCTTTGCTCTCTTCACATGAACGCATGCAAATGAAGACATGGCCGTAGAGGCAGAAAGAACGAGCAGCAACAAACGTGCGGTGTGGTAGATGCTTCTCTAGATGCATATGGTAAATCCTGGTCGAAGATTTAGGTTCTGACAAACCACCGCTGTTGACTCCTTTGAAGGCACTGGATTTCCAGCCACCTTCGTGCCCGACTTTAGCCCTCAGTGCAGCTTCCCTTTTGAGACCGGGTGTATTGGTATGTTTCTATGTGGTAGAAGAGTGGTGCGAGCCGAACCCCTCGGCAGTCGTTGTTCGGTCTTTTTGGCATGAGACTTCGAGGGTTCGGATACAGGGCCATTTTCGAGGCGTGCTTCCAAGGTAAGTGGCACGTGAGTGCAAAGAGCCAGAGTGCGTCTTGTACAGATTGCTGCATTGTCACTGGGCACCACAGCCGCTCGTAGCGAGGCGTTTTGAACAAGCATGCAGAAGCAAGGCTCATCGCAGATGTTTGGATCAGAGATCGGGACTGCCGCACCCATTCGGCTGCCACCATGCTTTCAGAACGGAGGTGTTTCGTGCACGGAAGATGGGCGGGGCAAGCTATCAGGCCATCACCTTTCCGATGCTTTTGGCAGTTTGACAGCGAGAAGTTCTAGACTCCTGGGACACTCAACTCGCACTTGCTTCTCCACCCACCACAAAGAAGGCCCGCCCAGCTTCCCAATTTGTGTGCAGGATTCAACCACAGTGCGGATCGATTCCGATCCTAGACACGGGCGGCGAAAGCAGACTGTTCAGGTTAGTCAACTCCTCCGACAGCATCCTCAGGCCGCCACCCAAGCCTAATCTCTGCGAAGCAGTGGCCGCTCCCGCTTGATTTCACTGGGGTGGGCCAGGCCCCCTCAAGCTGCAAGCACCAGGTATTTGCGGGGTGGTTTTTGGGCGCAGATGGCCCTTCAAGGACTTGAGGCTTTTGGGAGTTTTTGGGTTTGGACCTCGACAAATACCTTCCCGGCAGCAGACCGTACAGCTCAGCTCGCGCTGCAGAAAACGCCCTCTACTGGGAGAGAGTGTTTGGGGAGAAGGTGGGGCAAGTCGCCGTAGAAAAATACGTAGTGAAGCTGCACAATGACCGGGGCAGCTAGGACCGCCAGGAATTCCAGAACGCAGCAACGAGATAGTCAGATAAAGACTGATGAAGGCAAGCCAAATGTACGGATCGCCATTGGTAGCAGCAACTAGGAACAGCCTCAAAGCCCGAGACCCTCTCCTGCAAACCAACAAGTAAAGTAGATGCTTGCAAGCATCGGATGTATGGAAGACCGGAGACCTCAAGCCCGAAAGCTCTCCGCCTTGCCTGGCTTAAACTCCGAAGCTCCCAGTGCAGCTTCTGTAGCCTCAAGGCAGCCCCAGGGGTTTTCTGTGCGAGTTTCGACCATGAAGTCCGTGCTTCTTCTCTCCTTGTTCGCGGCCGTCGGCGCCATCGAACTCACGAAGGATTCCTTTGGCCTTGATGAACTAAGAGTGCTTCTGTGTTCTCGTACCCGGCTTGAAGGCTCAGCGAGGTTTGGGGTGCAGGGCTGCTGCCTGAAATGCCCGAACATCTTCTGCTACGGACCTGGTATGGACCCAGTGGCAGTTGTGCAACTAGCTTCCACGGCATGTGAGCTACATGAAGGCCACGGCAAGAGCAGGGGACTCGTTTTAACGCGGCGTGGATTGGTAGGGGAGTGGGATGGTATGGTTTTTTTTGGGTTGGCGTTCGGGCGCGCATGTCTGCGCGCAGGTTTGTGTGTCTCTGTGTGTGTGTGTGTATCTGTGTGTGTGTGTGTTGTGTGTGCGTGCATGTCTGATTTCCGAGGTTTGACTCATGCTTCCTGTTCTAAAAAGCGTACATGCATACCTAGCTATGTACGTACGTAGGTGCGTACGTACGCACATACATACGTACGCGTATGCTTACATACATACATACATACATACATACATACATACATACATACATACATACTTATATATATATATACACACATACAGACGTATAAAAAATTATAAAAAGCTCCTTTTACATATGCGGATGCACGTGCCTTTCCTATATATATATACACATCTATACATATACATTTATATTTTATATTTATCGAAAAAAGTATATGTGTATAACATGTACATATATATATATAGAGATCTAAATTATACACAGATGTATGTGTATATGTACATATACACATACACATATATGCATCGATAGTTGCATGCATGCATGCATACCAACACACACACACGCATGTGTATATATATATATATACATACATATATATATACATACATATATATATATATATATACATACACATAATTTTATACACAAATCCACACGAGCATTTTGGGAAATTTTAGGCACATCTCGTGAGCCATCTCTTCCAGGAGTCTTGGGATGAGAAGACGGCCGGCAAGAGCGCATCTTGTCCGACAGCATAGGAAGTCCTGTGTTCTGATAGTCTAACACGTGACATCGTGCGCTTCGAAACCTTCAACGCCTGGTCCCAACATAATTTCTGGAAGTTTGAAGTGTCGGTGGTCCCTATTCCAGCCTTGGCTGAGGTCTTCGTGAAATTCTTCGCGCCCTGGTGTGGTCACTGCAAGGCATTCTGTGCCTGAGTCCCTGCGTAGTCTCCAAATTTTATGAAATATTTTCCCCTCCACACGAGCGGCTGGTAAAACTTGAGAAAACATGTACCACTATTCCGACCAGCACCTGCACCGACGCGGATGGGTTTGCCGAAAGCGATCAGGTTTGGGAGCAATCAGTGAAAGCACGGCATTCCTTTCAAGGGCTTGTCTCATTCTGATGACGACTATCATAGCATGCCAAACCTCTGTGTCCACGTCTTGGCTGTGCGTGGGTTATGGTGCCGAGACTATCAGAGCCGAGGATGCTAGTGCCTGTCTGGTGTGATTTTGGAAAAATACCAAAGATTCAAGGCCCTGTAGAAACGGTTGAGATTTGATTGTGTGGTTTACATTGATATCTAGTCATGGGCTGCCGCGAGATGTTTTTTTGCGATTACTCGCAGGAGCTGAGGAGCTTGAATTGGTGGGTCGCGGTTTAGCCGGGTCTGGGTTGTCGTTGTGGATGATTCCGGGGCTCTTCTCCCAGAATACTGCAACGATGCAGATCCTTTACAATCCTTACAAGCGATCTTGCAGGCCATGAAGAAGGACTGGGACAAGCTCATGAAGGAATACGCCAGCCATGAGTCGATCTTGGTCGCAGACGTGGCCTCCCAGCCGCAAGCAAAGAGCAGCTGTACCCGCTCTAGTTTAGGCCACCGAGCCGAGCCACTAGAGTAATAGTATACCGATGACGGGACGAGGTAGAATCGTGGCAATCGGAGTAATCGTGGGAGCACCAACGGCAGTAGCAAGACTTGAATTTCTCCTTTCAGAAACCGTTCCTCATGAACCTTGCGGCAAGACTGCAGAAGCCCTTGCACTGTGTCTACGTGACCCAAACTTAGCTGGAGCCTGCTAGTACCTCTGTCTTGCTGACCGATAAGTGCTTGCCAAGGATTGCATTGGTGAGGGTAAGGCCATGTGCACTGGCCTCAGCTTCTCCTCCGGGGCCAGCAGCTGCAAGAGGATTTCTCTAGCCCCTAAGCCTTCCAGAAACGGTCGAGATGCCCCAAGCACTCGAAGCCCCAATCCCCTCACCTGGGGCCATCAACATCAAACGCACAACTCTAAAACCCTCTAAAATCTGACGTTCCCTGAGCCCTGAGCCCGAAAGCTCGAGCTGCTCGCGAGGCGACGAAGTGGGCGTGGAGGGCTTCCCAACCATCAAGTACGGTGACCCCGCCAACCTGGAGGCTTGTTTTGCTCTGTACGGGTTGTTGCTGCTCGAGCTCTCGCCTCCAAGAAAGAGAGTGTCATCCTGCCCTCTGCGTGTCCTGAGACGTCGCATGGTCAGAGGCCATCTCAATGGAAAGGCAATCCAAGAGTTTTCCACAACTAAAGGAAAGTCAGCCCTGAAGCCCTCAAAGACAAAGGCCCCAGGCAGGGAGATTGAAATCGCGAAACGGAGCTTCCATATATTGATATGCTGATATACTCCACTTGAATATAAGTATGATAAAAATATACTTAACACCATATACTCTCAGTGACGTGCTATTAACCCGGCTCGGCCCTGAGCCCAAAAACGAGGACTACGAAGGTGGCCGCGAGCTCTCGGAGTTGCAGAAGTTCGCGAAGGACAACCTTGGCCCAAGGCCCTAATTGGGGCTCTGGGTTCTAGTGGTTTTAGTCTGGGGCTCTGGGATCTTCGGGGATTGCTGGCTGTTGGGCTTTAGGCTGAGGGTCACCTGGCCGGGCGAGCTCCAATCAAGCCGTTGTTTAAAGGCTGAGGGCCGAGGCCTATAAAAACAGGCCCCTTTTTGCTCGGCCTCCTGC